TGGTGTAATGTGCTCTTTTTTGCCTGTACTGGTTAAAAATCGGGCTGCTGCATTCTGGACCAGTTGTAGTCGTGAAATGGAGGTCTAACTGATACCAAACAGGAGTGAATTGCAGTAATCAAGCCTAGATGTAATGAATGTATGTATTACTGTCTCCAGGTTATTTTTGGACAATATGGGCTTCAGTTTAGACTTTGACCTTTGCTGACACCCTTTTTGTCACAAATCACTCCTGAAACTTTTCTCCATCCACTCCATCCTACTTTTAGGACTTGTGTGAAAATCTGATGAAGTCATATTTATGCAGAAATGTAAAGAAATTCTACAGGATTCACAAACTTTCAAGCACCACTGTATATTCCTTGAATACTACCCATAAAAATCAATCAAAATCTGCCGATCTTCAAAAATGTACTCCTGTAAATTATATCATGAACAAGAGGCAGCTGCCACGAGCACAAAGCAGGCCAGGGCAGGTACGATGTTGGCAGGGATTGACGACAAAATAATGTGCATGGCCAAAATTAAAATTTTGCAAGCCAAAAACCAGCCCTTCAAAACAAGGTCACATAAGCACTCAGAATATAGGCTGCAACAGGTGTCTATTTTCTCACAACTTTTTTGCTTTTTTGAGTCACCATAGTCTCCAAAAGTTGCAGCCCATTATGAAAATACCCTTGGGAGGAGAAAAAAAAACCTTCCCATAAAACTCAAGTTTCATTTAGCAGAATAGTAGCTTTCATGATTAGGAAAGCAGAAACCATAAATTGTAATACAACCTAATATACAACTTGATTTATGATTTCAATATGTTGTTAACAAGTTTTTGAATCAAAAAGAATTATTCCTCTGACGGACACTCTGACAATAACCATTAAAAAAGACAAATATAATTGTCCTGAAATGTTCATTTTGATATTCAGTATCGCTTCAAACACCTTATCCACTTCACTGTAGATACACCACATGTCACAGATTGATTAGGGAAAGAGATATGAGGCAGTCCTCCTCCTCCTCTCCTCTTCAGGGAGAGTTCTAATAAAGTAGGAGGCTGGTTAGATGTGGGAGTCTAACTCTACACTTGGGTTCCAAAAATCAATAAAATACAGAGTGCTACTCTTGCCTTCCACTCCTTATCACTTATCCTCATTCCCTTTATCCTCTTTGTCTTCATTATACAACCTTTGTCATTTTGTTTTGTTTTCACCTCCTATTTCACATTTCTGTCTTACCACATCATGTCCTCTTCACCTCGTAATATTCTATTCTCTCTAATTAGCAGTTTCCTCTCTCTTGCAGACACCTAGCAGCAGTCAGAGCGTTTAATATGTGCTATGGTTACCTTTTCACTTGCAGCTTGAATTTCTCAGCAGTCTTTTGCAAAAGTTGCAAAAAAAAAAAAAAGTCCCAGAGTGAAAATATATTTACTTTCCACAAAACTTTAATCAGACTACATAATTTAAAAAAAAAAGGTGTAAACTCTCGCCATATTGTTTGGAAATTGATAAAAACTTTATCTCAGATGGGGTCACTGCTCCTTCTAACCTGTGAGACAACATTGCCCCCTGCAGGTCAACAGGAGAGGTACACATCAATCAAGTTTATGCACTTTCACCAGGCCTTGTTTACCCCCAGAAATCTCTCCCACAAGGGGAAACATGTAAGTATATTTAAATAAATTAATACCCCTTTTACAAGCCTCAGGAAAAGTACAGTCCAAAACAAAATCTTCTGACGCCAGTTGCTTCACGAAGATAAACGTATATGATTTGCTTGGCTTTTGTCTGAAGGCTTTTCATAATACCAGAAAAAATTTAAATATGCCGTGCCTAATTCTGCATTTAGGCTGAGCCACTATTCTCTAGGGGGCTGAATACAAAGCAGCGTACAGGAAAGACAGTTGACTATTCAGCTGAAACAACACCATCCAGGCTTAAAGGATAATCAGCCCCACCAATTTCAGACAAAAACGAAACATTTCTGTATCCATGGCACCAAACAATGGTTCTATGTAGCATTCACAGTCTTCAGAATATATTATGTCTTTGTTAAAGCTCTAACAACACTTTGCCGAGTTTGTGTTCATATTTGAAGTCGTTAAAAGAATGAAAGTGCTACGTCTATAGAAAACATTTTAATTAAAGTGACAACAAAACAGCCTTTTGGATTCTTAATGCTTTTGCTACAGCTAGAACAATATTTCTTCTAGATGAAGGAGGTTCATAAGATCCTGGCAATTACAGGCACATGGAATTAGCCGACAAGAATTCAAAGTAATTACAAGGTAAAAATAGATCAAAACAGGCAGAGCCTTGGTATTAAATCTAAAATAGACTGCATTTGCATCATTTTACTTAATGTTTTCTTTAATGAGAGCTTCATTAAGATACTGCACCTGTACATGTTTTGATACACATTTCCAACAAATGAGGACTAAGAATAAAGAAAATATATTCATGGCTAATGACCTCCATAAGGCAGGCATCTAGACTCAAAAGTATTCACTGTCCAAAATTAGCTTTGGCGTATGTCTCTTAAGAAAACAAAAACACCCCAGAGGTTTAAGATAACAAGCTCCCTGGTCTCCGTTTTTTTTACAGCTACTCAAAAGCCAGATGCTGGTCTTCCTCTGGGTCAGGACAGACAGTTTGGGGATTAGCATCAATTATCAAAACAGAACTGACAGACCGGAGATTTTTCTTGTTTAGCAGAAACACTAGACGCCAACCAGCAATTTTCAGTCATGGGTTGTTGTAGTTTTTTTTTTTTTTTAAATCAGTCCAACAAAAAAGTTGCAACATTATTTGTGTGTCTGCATTTTGTATCTGTGTGTTGATACCTCTGAATCTTCGCTGCAGATCCCCAGTTGGAGGACAGCACTGGGAGACTTCAGTCGAGCCTGACTGGACTGGGCCATCTGTAGGTTCAGCTGCCAGCCCACATGTTCCAGCTGCAACACATCAACAGAGCCGGTTCATAATTTTAACAGCACAGCATCACATTTTGCTTTGATAAGTACTCCAGACATCTTTTAGAAAGGTCATAAAAATGACACTTTTCCAAAAAATATCGTGCGTGTGCAGGAGTCCAATATTTCACCCGTTTTACTCACGCTTTCACTCTTATAGACCAATTTTCTTATCCCAATATCTTATACAGCAAGTCAATTTTATGGTTTTACTTCAAAACATGCATTTTCTTGTAATCATTAAATACATTAAATAATCATTATAAATACAGAATTTATAGCATTTATTTATTTTAAATAAAATGCAAAAAAATCAGAAAATGTCAATAAAAAATGAAGAAATATAGTCATCTTTACTCTTGTGTTCAGTTCTTAACATAAGGTACCCTTTTATAAAGTAACGATTTAATCATTTAAATAGAAAATAGTTATTATTATTGCTTCATTTATAAATTTGTTTTATTTGCATTTTTTTTATAAGGCTGCAAAACTAAAGTAATTAAAAAAAAATCACGTGGCACTGCGGCTGCACAGCTGCAGAAAGGAAAGCTCTGAAGAGAGTGGTGAAGGCTGCACAGAAATCTGTTGGAGTCAGCCTCCCCACCATCACATTGACACCTCCAGATGCAGGAAGAGGGCCACCTGCATCATGAAGGACCCCACTCACCCAGCACACACACTTTTTGTCCCGCTTCCCTCAGGCAGGTTACAGAGCATTAAGTGTAGAACCATTAGACTGAGGAACAGCTTATACCCTGAAGCGGTTAGACTCATAGATCCCGAACCAGGAAAATCACTGTTATACTACTTTAATTGGTAATATGTTACTGCTGATTATCCATGCTGCTGATCTCTTGCCTTTATGCTGCTGTATTCATATCCATCTGCTCACTAAAGACTCATGTTCAGGCTGCTGTTTATTATACCCCATTATTTTACATTATTCGTGTTTAGTGTATATCTTAGATCTTTTAGCTTTCATTTAGTGTATATCTTAGATCCTTATATAATGTTTCTTTTTATACTTTATATTTTTGCTATTTTTGGGTGTAACTAGGACCTTGAGTACGCAATTTCATTCCACCTCATGTACCACATGTGACGCGAACGACAATAAAGAACCTTGAATCACAGTTTATTTTAACAAATGTGAAAGTTTTGCATAGGTTACAAGTTTTCAAGCTGCACATTGAATTTTGCATCTTTTTTTTTTTTTCAGATTTAATTATGAGCCAAAAACAGGCCAAGTGAAGCTTTAGTCACACAAAACTCTACTTGTGGAGTCCCTCACATATCACGACTTCACCTTCTCCCCACCTGTTCCGGCTGATTCACACAGACACTTCATCAGTCAGCTGTAGCAGCGTGATGGATTAGCAGCACTGACTCAAGGCAGGTCAGTTAAGTGTTTTATGATGCAGACAAAAGCCATGATAATAAAGCACGTGTGAATTATTGGGTTCTGAAGCTTCCACAGCAGCAAGAGACCCGTGAGGGGTAAGGAGAAGCACAGCCATTCTATTCACCACTGAAGCATCACAATGTCATTAGGTCATCTATTTTTGTTACAGTGGACGTTAACAAACTGTTTTACAGACTTTAAAAAGTGGATTTAATCAAACAACACATTAATAGTTTGTCATGTTAAAAACCTAGTTTGATTATATATAACATTTCTAAGAGGAAACGCGTTTTCTCATTTAAATAAAAGTCCTACGCTTTCGGTTTTGTTAGCCATGTAATTTATTATAAATGACGTAAAAATTGGTGTCTTATGATTACAAATGTATTGAATCTGATTAAATTAAAATTAGATCATTAGATTAAATGAGAAGGTATAGCCTATATAATTGTTGAACAGGTTTGCCTGTCTCCTGGTGACTGCTGGAAAAAGGCTCCGGATTCCCATGACCCTCAACGATGGATGGATGAACTGGACTGGATCTAATTGGGTCTGCTTTGAACTTGTCTACTTTCTTTGTGCTTTGGGGTGCTATATTTTGGCTAAATCCCTAAGCTGAATTACATTAAACTGAGTCTAAAACATAATCTGGTCAAGTTGTGTTGCATTTATTTTAAAAAATGTCGGGCCTTTGTTTCTGTTGATTGTATGCAGGAAATGGCATTTATAATCATCAAATATCACTCCCAAATTGTAAATTACATGTGTCAATATTCTGTTTAATCATTTAAACTCAACTGCATTCAGACGGAAGCTGCACATATTAATTAATTTTACTAATTAATTTATTAGTTTTACATTTTGTCTATAAAATGGACTTTTCTTGAGAAAAACAATTAAAATGGCCTTCAGCCTGTTGGCACTGACAATCATCCTGTTAGTTTAAAAAAAAGAGACAGACTTTGCTTGTTTTCTGCTATTACAATTAGCAGCAAATCAACAGTAAATGTCTATAGATTTTTATTTAAGGCATTTAAACAACATACATCCCAAACAACAACCTAGAGTTGATTATTGTTCAGTATTAGAAGTTACCAAACACAAAATGCATCCTTTGAGTCAAAATAAAACGTGGATATTAGAAAACATGTCAAATAGAGACTGTATTTATGTATTTATTATTGCTTAAAGTCAAAGCAGCTGACCTCAGAGTTCCGTCGCTTGCTACTTACACGCATCATGTGGGTGGGATGATTAATGAGACAGAGGCAGGTGGAACATCTTCACATTTTGACAGCACCACCGTCTCCTGCATGATGTGCACATGCTGTTTGTATACTCTGCATTAGAGCTTTTCTCTGAAAGAACAGCCTTTTGAAGCGTCACTCTTTACTAAAGTTGGAAACCGAAAGAAGCTTAAAGATTTATGTTACAACTAGTGTAAGAATTGAAATAACTATCTGTAAAGCAAACGGCAAGAATTCACCCAGAGGCAGAAACGGTCAGACTGAATCGAGTCAGTCCATCCTAAAGTGTAATAAATATCTTTATGTAAAGACAAGAACATTTAGCTTTAAAAGAAGTGTACTTTCAGTGATCTTTTCTTAGCCATCAGAAGGTGGCGAGAACCTTTTTCAGCGTGTATATACAAATGCATAAAAATTATAATGAAAAAAAAATCTTGCACGTTGACTCCAATCCTACCTTCTTAGGGGCAAAGATGTTTTGTTTTAGCTTTTCTATGAGCTCAGGTCCAGCAGTGGCCCAGGTCTGACAGAACACCTCAGCTTTCTCTGGGTTTAGATGGATCACCTCCAGCTGCTGCTGCAAAGATGCTGGCTTTATGTTGTGATACATCGCCTAGGATGGGAGAACATAAAGTAAATGTGAATCATTTATAAAAGTCACTGACTGCAGACTCTCTACCAATATAATAATCAGCTAAACGCATCGCAGCAAATAGCTGATCAAAACTCAACAGACGTCAAATGAAAAAACAAAATCTTAACATTATTCTGACAAAACAAACATGATTCATATACACAACAACTAATGTTCCTAAGACAGTATGAAAAAGTTTAAATGGTTGGTATATTTATTATACACTGAATAAAAAGCAGTTCAAAAACTTCAACCAAAAGCTCCATAATGACCCAACAAGAATTCTCAAAATCATCTTCACAAACAGCACAGTTAGTTATTTTCTGTTGTTCTTGTCCATGTCTGTTTTAAATTGCTAATAAATAAAGTCAATAACTGCACAGAAGAATACTAGTAAACTTTTAAAATAGTTCTCTTTGTCTGCACTGAAACAACATACTGAGATAGACAGGTCATCGCTTAAGAGTGCAAATCAAAGAAAATAAAAAATATATATTTTTACACTTCTGACAAATTAATTAGTAATGCAAACTTTGTAAGAAAATCCTATATTCATAACTAATTGATGACATGTACAAGACAGTCTAACATAGCAAACTTCCTTTTATAGTCTAAAATTTGATGAGTCATGGAAACAACTCTTTTGAGTATTGAACATGATGTCACCTGTTCTAAAATGAAGGCAGCAGTTTCCAAAACCAAGTTGAGAGCATGTTTATCCAAAGACAGAGCAGCCTGGAGTTTTTGCTCTTCTTCCTCACTGAAAGTTCGCTCTCCCTGAAAAGTAAAAAATAAAAAATTGTGGGGAAAAAATATATATATCTGTACATTTTCACTGTTTTAGCATAAACATAAACAAGTATGACTAGAAAGTCATACTTGTTTATTTATTTAGTTTCTTTTTTTTTTTTGACAAGTTCACTTTTGCCAAGCTAATATTTTTGCATTTGTTTTCAACTGTTTCCATTTGTGTTGGCGTGCAGAAATTAAATTTGGATGATAATCAATACAGAGAATAATAATTAAACATTTTTACTGTATAAAATTAAATAATTTACAAAATAATATTTAAATTTCTGTAAAGTTTTTCAAACTAAACTGCAAATTAAGTTAGTTGCGTTGCAATGCCGCAAATGTTAAAATACAAACGAACGTTAAAAACTCAAATAGAATAAAACATTTACATGTGAAAGAATAAATAGAACTTCAACTAAAGTTAAATGGACTGAGTAACTTTCTATCTATCAAGTTACTCACAGTTCTTTACAACACAATCTGTGACCTCATTTACCTCCACACACACATTCATACAGCACTCTACTACAGCTCTACAAAGCTAATCTGAACCTGTAGTGCTTTAAATCACATTCATACATCGATGGGACACACATCGAAGGCTATGAGGGGTTCAGTGTCTTGCCCAGGGACACTTCAACAAGTGGCTGCTTGTGGAATCGAACCCTCAACTCTCTCATTGGAAGACGACTGATCTAACCACTCAGCCACAGCTGTTAAATTGTTAATCGTTAAGTTAAACGTGGATTATAAACAACTGTTAAGTTGATTGCAAAAACCAATGCAGACATCGTTTTATAATGTAGCATGTTTGTGTTTCATTTTTATATCATTCTTTTATTTACTTTTTATTTTATATGCTTTTACATGGTTGTCTATTGTTGTCTGTACCTCATCTGTGTTCTTTGTTTAATAAAGATCTCTCTTGTAAATGAGTCCTCGCAACTCAATGAGTCTAACCTGTATAAATAAAGGTTGAATGAATTGTAAGAATACCAAAAAATGACATAGTGTGCCACAATTGTACATTATCACCTACTGTACCTGTGCACATTCCCTGTAATGGAATTGAAGATGCTCATCGATTACCATATTTTTAAGAAACAAACGTGCATTAACTTCCAACAGCAAGTCAAAAAACTTTATATAAATGTGCTTTTCTTCAGTTATTTTTAATTTAAAAAAAAAAAAAACTTAAGTGCCAAGTTTGGTTAATGATCCAGCCTGACTGATGTGCCAAGGTCATTGTGCATGGACTGTGATGTGCCAAGGTCATTGTGCATGGACTGTTCTGACAACTTTGGCTCAGAAGACACTGTTCGGCCTCTGTACCTTCAGATGAAGCTTCTGAATGATGCGAGAGATCAACCTGGAGAACTTGTTCACATCAATGGCGTTGATGTAAATCACAGCTTCTTTTATGCTGTTCAGACGACAACAAAAAAGAGTGATAAGTGTTAATGACAGTAAAGTGTTCAGATTTCTTAATAAAAAGGAGTACAAAAGAGTAAATGAGTACCAAAACTGTAGTAGCTGTCCATTTATTTAAAAACTACAGCTCTAATAAAAGAAAAATATTTATTATATACACATGTCATCTATTTGTCTTCCATTCTGCAAAACCTGCTGCATCTAAATTGATCAATTCTGGTGGGGGGAAAAGTGTTTATAGGTGCAGTTTATCTGTCTTACAAGATAATTGTGATGAGATTTGTATTGGCAATCTTGACCTCATGTTTTGCAATTACTTTAACATAAACTAAGACCATGTAAAAATAAAAAGTCACTAAAGTAGCATTAAAACTGTACTACACAATTGGAAGAAAAGTGATGTTATTATGTGCTAGGATAACTGCATGCACTGATTGTCGTTTACAGTTACAGGCACGCTGTTGCATTTTGAAGAAACACTATAAACGAAAAAGAAAGCCATGATTAATTTAAAAGAAATTGCAAACTACCTTCAAAATACTTTTTTTCCCCCCCGTTTCAATTTGAGGTTATGTTCAGAACACACTTAAAAAAAAAACTGCTCAATTCGAGCGACAGCCATTCATTACATCTACACGCCGACAATATATAAACGTTGACAAAACAATTTCACTTTGGTCTTTGAAGAGAGATCGCGATTGACACAAAACCGGTGTTTATGTGTCAAAGTATTCTCAGAATGCTAAATGCTAACATTGCCTACCGAAATAATTGATCTATATTTGAAAGAAAGAAAGAAAGAAACGGGCTCACCTTTGTGTTTCTTTTATAACAGAAGTCATTTTGTGCTTCTTTCTTTAAAATAGTTTGAAAATTGTCAATGTGGCTGGTAGTGTATCTTCATACTGTTGTCATTCCTTCTTCCGGTTGTCACGAGACAAACGGATCATGTGACAAATATGCGTGGTAAGGATGCGCAGTGAAGCAGCAGCAGAAATGAGCACAGTTTAAAAAAGGCCAGCATTATTTGTTTTGGAAGGAGTTTTAGCAGGTTTATTAATAACCATATTTTAAGGGATTTTTCCTTACGTTGGGAAAATGTTTTATTTTGTTTTTCTAGATTCCCCAGAAAGCATGCTAAATGTTTTTTTTATATATATTTATATAATAAACTTGCTAATTCTTTTGGCCAAATTTTACATTCATAAATGCAAATTTATGAACAAAACGCCATGTTTTCTTTATTTGATTAAGGCTGTGGAATTATATGTTAAATTAACCAGATTTTACCAACAGAAAGGCCCTCATGTTGCTGATCGGTTTCATGTTGAGGTGTTCATGCTCACACAGACTCATGTTCGTGCTGCTGTTCGACGTACTTTTTATGCTATTAGTGCTTAGTGTATTATTTAGCTGATGTTTTTCTTAGTTCATATCTTAGATCTTATTACTGTTTTTCTTTTACATTTTATTGTTGGATGTAACTGGGACCCTGCGTACATAATCTCGTTCCACCACATGTACCACATGAGATGCGAACGTCAAATAAATCTGACTCTGAATCTTTGCAAATATTTGTCTAACACCCCTGGTTGTTCATTTAAGTGTTGTGTTCTTCTGTATAATCCATTTGTTTGTTGTATACTTGCAATTTGCTTAAATAAAAATAGAAAAAAAAAGGACCAGCATTATTGTATTAAAATTCATGTTTTTAACATGTCTGTGGCAGAACCATGGTGTTCTCTAAACATGTACAAAGCATGTATAAAGCTAAATAGGTAAGCTACGTATAACTAAGGAAAGTACGTAGTGCCAAACTTAACTGGTGTTATGTATGAGGCTGATCCAGCTGGGTATGTAGTTTACCATAATTGCTCATTCAGAACTCATCAATTTCTCATTAATATAAACTGGCATATTTTAATAAAGGTATGGAAACCTTTTTTCCTTTTTGTAGTAATGTGTCTTAACACTTGAAACAGGCTGACACTTTAATGTAGGCCAGTTTAACCTCCTAAAACCCAAACTAATCCCACAATCCCAAATATGAATGTTTGAGCCAAAATTCAGTTGTCGCATCAATCCAAAATCTACCTTTAAAACGTAGTCAACAGAAGAATGCTTAGTTTTACTTTAATTTTTTTTGTTACAATTATTTTTAATAATTTACCATTTTTAACTAAAAATACACACTTGATACCAGTTTGCACAAAGTGCTGCAAAGAAACTTTCAATAAATTATTAAAATTCTTCTATACTTTTTAAATCCTTATGCTAAACCTTTCCCGTGCAGCGTTTTATAAAATCAGGGAAGTTGTTGTGGATATCAAGGTAAATGATGTTGCTCTAAAATAATACAGCATGCTTTGGTGTATCAATAAATAAAATTTAAAAAACAGTTTAATTTTTGACAGTTTATTGTTGAAAAAGAAGCAAAAAAAAGTCATGCACAGATGAAAATTAAAAGAATTAATCAGATAAAACAAGATGCATCATTAAAAATACTTGACATACAAACAAGAAAAAGGAAATCAGCACTTCGATATGTTTATATGTCCGAGTCTCTGCAGTTTAACATCATCATATGGTGCAACTTAACACTGTAGCAGATAGGTTTCAACTTCAGAACTAAAATTATTTCACTGGTCTTCGTTCCTTGATTGAATTTATCCAGTTCGGAACAACCAAACTAGAGAAATTCTTCAAAAGTGTTACTTTATGTCATACATATGACTTAGTGGAAGCATTTTATTTATGTATTTTTATGTAACAGATCAGGTAAGGAAGAGCTCAATGTCACGAGTCAACCGTCAGTGAGGCAGAAGGAACGTACCACTGATAAATACTTTCTTTATCCTTCAAACAGAAAAATAAAACCCACCAAAAACATTTAACAGAAATTAATCAAAAAGATAACACCGCAACATGGAGTGTCAAATCCCACAGTACCTTCAAGACTTCGAGTGTTGATAAAAGTTTATAATGTCAGGTGTTGGCAAACAGAATGCATCAAGGTAAACATCGGCTGACATCTTGCAGGCTCAGGATCTTGCTGCCACTATTTGAAGGAAGGTAAATTTGGCACTTTTATGCTTATGTCGCCAATGTTGATGTTTCTGGGCATTTCCGGGAGGTTCATGTTCTTTACAGCTGATACAGCACGAGCAGGTGCTCCTGCAATACCGGCCTGCACACACCAACACACACATACACACGTGTTGATAAGATACAAGCCAGTGAAGCAAGCAAACAGAATAAAAAAACAAAACATTTGTACACAACAATACACTAAACAATGAGCACTAGACACAAAAACACAGAGTGCTAAACTGAAAACTGGACACACAAAAACAAAAAAAGTCAACTGCTGACAGAATGCAAAAGCACTGAGACAGACGACATGTGCAAATGTACATTCAGATGCCTTTTTAGCTTCATATGCACATGCAAATAATTGTTTCTAGAATGATGAACATCACAACCAGAACCAATCGGGAGACATTTGTGAGGATATTCTGTCCTAGACGACTAAAACTGAAGTTCTGAGGAGGAACTGGACAAATGAACAAAAGGCAGCATTGCTTGGAAAGTGAATCCACCGGACTCTTGAGGACAGTTCGGGGTAAAAATGCGAGAGAATTGTGCGAAGCAAAAAAATAAAAATAAATTGGGTTTGGATATGAAGTGATGCAGGTACGTGGAGGATGTGTGCATCAAAGCGTTGCTCATAATTTTGCAGGTGGTACTGTAGAGCCTAAACTTGACTGTGGCTGCAGTTTCTAAATACATACTGGTGCCCAACTGTAATTAAAGGAATCCAAATGCGGTGCCATGTGCAAATCTATTTTTTCCAATGATGTGTGAGAAGGTTGTTAGCCTGACGATGTTAAACTACAATGCTAGATCTACTCTCAAGGCAGAGGAGGCGCTACACTAACACAGTAACAGTCAAAGTGGAACTGAACAAGACAAATTCAGTCTACAACAAAAGCATTTGCAGCGAGTGAATGATTAGAGGTTTTAGTAGCGTGTAAAAGGGAATCACTGCTGTTAGAGAACCCCCGACTGAATCTTTAGCAGACAGACCCAAAAATGACCAAAGTGTTTCACAGACAGCTGGACTGTGTGTTTGGGGTCTACCTTAGGAAAACCCTGAATTAAAAACCTTGCAAATAAATATATATATTTTACAGTGATGCCAAAAATGCCTAGCTAGCATTTATCGAAAGTCACTGCAGTTTTTTTCACAAGGGTATTTCAATGACTGTGTGTTCAGGGAGAATTCTTCCTCTGCCAGGAATCAAGGAGAGTAGTGTTAGATGGGACGACAGCCACGTTGCTAATCAACAGGAAATGCTGATGCAGCACATGGCACCAGTAATAAAGTTAAACGCAATATTTTTTTTTAACACAACTGCATTAGACTGACTGTTCACTCACGGTGTGAGGCTAATTTAATGCATTTTTTATTCTATCACTGTGTGACTAATGCACACAAATATAGTAAATACAATCTATGAACTATAAACTTCTATAACCGACTAAATGGGAAGAACCCAGAACTTTAACACCGACTGCAATTAACATAAATGGACTATTTTAGTTTTCTGACTCAGTCCAAACCTTTAAATGAAAGATGAATGTAGCTACGCTGACGTCACTTATTTTCTTGCAACCTAAAACTGCATTATTTCTTTACGTCAGCAGGGGGCGCCAGAGAAGTTGTGAGAAAATTTACTGTTTTTATTAACTCAAGAAACATTTCTGACTAGATTATACGTCTTTTTGTCTTTATATATTCCCTGAAGTTACATCAAAGTGTATGCCGTGTCCTAATTAAATAGAGACAGATTTTTGGGTCTGCCATGAAAGATTTCTACTGTATATTAGTGAAGTCAGTTTACTAATACATGAAGGGCCGAGTGGAGAGACTGAAAGGGGACGCAAACTTCAGTTACTGTGACAGTATTTGGTTGTAAATTTAGCAGTACCTGTGTCTACCTGTCCTGCCTGGTAGACTGAAAGATAAACGTCTGTAAAGAGAGAAAAGAATGGAAAGAACTGGACAGGGTCAGGAAAAAGAGGAATGAGGAATGTTAAAGCAGATTTAAGTAATTACAGTTTATCTCCACAGATAGTGAAAGGACCTATAGTACACCACATGTGTATTTAAAACTTGTAATTAACTTTACAGATTTTTTTGTTTAAATAAAACTAAAATAATGGCACCTGTTTAAAAGACAGTTCAATAAAATAGGACTCGTGTCGGTTTGGAAGGAGAACAGCTCGTTTCTCCTTTGCAGGACACGATCTCGTGAATGAAAAGTGTCCGGTTCAATTAGCACAATTAGCAAGAGATAAACTGGTTTACGATAGGTCCAAGAGTGTAAAGACAGAGCAGCTCTGATGACAGAGAACAATATAAGAATCCTTACAAAATGCCAATTTGAACAAGATTCTGTCACGTTAAAAGCAAATCAAGCAGCTCAAATTGTTAAAAAAAAAAAAACTTTAAAATGTTAACTATAAAAAGCATTTTTTTTTTTTTAAATCACCTAGTATCAGTTCACTTTGTAGTTTCAGCTTAAACAAAATTATTTTCAACTAGATTTTCTGCAGGATGAGTCCAAAAATATTAACATCTATGAACATTTTTTTAATGATTTGTAAACAAGGCCACATGATCCGTGTTGTTTAGTTCTAACATAATCAGACAAAATACTAAACTCTGAACTGAGCAGAATAAAAATAATTTACCAGAATTATTTCTGTCTTTTAAACCTTTTCCGTATGCAAAGGATAATTTATCTGCTGGCAGAAGCTGTGTGGAAAACAAAGCAATGCACTTGCATGGAGTTCAAACCTAAGCAAGGACACTGGCTTGGAGATGTTACACATCTGAAAACATTTACTTCAGCGTTACCAGCATCTAAAACTCGTTCTTCTAAAGAAATTATTACGATTAAAACTGCATGTCAAATTTAGATGAGATGAGATTTAATGGTGACAAACTCTGCAGTGCATTGGACAATGGTACTGTTGATTTAATATAACAGCCTGTGACTTTAAGTATAACTTGTCTCATTTTGATCTGCATTGAGAGCAGTGTAGCTGCAAGAGGAGAGGCCGAAAAGAGCACAAACACTCAAGAGTAGGTAGAGAGCATCCACAGTTACTGGAGAGTCGCATGCAGGGTGCAGCATACACGCATGCCTGCATACTGGAGACAAAACCTCAGAGGGTGGAGGCAGAATCAAGTCACGCTGAAGGTGCAGAAAGCTGCTTACCTCAGACTTCTCCATCTTGTTCTGGGTGTCCACCTGTGTGATGATTTCATTCATGTTGGTCTCCAGGACCATCCCGCCCATCACCATCTCTGCCAGAATGTGGTGTACCTGAAATAAACACGAAAAATACATAATTGTTATATTCTGAAACCAAAGCACACTTTTTAACTTAAACGGGTCGTTTTTTTATTATTTTTTTAAGTTTGATTTTTTTAGTTTGTCATTGATGAAATTACTTAAAAATACAAAAAAATAAATAAATAAATCACATTTCCAGAGTGCCATCTTTTTCAAATGTGCACTGAATTACATCAAATGTTTTAGGTTGTTGTCGAAAAGTACCCTTCTGAGTACAAACTATTTGCTGAAGTCATTCAGATAGATGTAAAATTGTTTGTACATTATTCTATTTTACATTACAATATAGAGATAACGTTAAAAAAAAAAATGGATGGAAGGTGAAACGTTTCAGCAAAAAAATAAACTGTCCAGATGACCTGACTGAAAATTGTTGGATTGTATACCTGGATTAATGAGCATGGACTTTTTTGGTTTTGAACCAGTTTGACATGACTGTCGACGAGGAAGAGGGCCGGCAGCAGAGGAGGGGACATACCAAAGAGACCATCTTAGCACCAACATAACTGGTTTGTTCCACTTTGGAGTAAGCTGTTCAGGGGAAGAATCAGTTTTGTGTTGTGTTTCCTTGACTGATGAAGCCTTCTGGATGGACGGTGAAACGTTTCAGAAAAAAAAAAAAGAAACTGTCCAGATGACCTGACTGAAAATTGCTGGATAGAGATAACATGTTTTGCCTGCTATGACCTATACACGTAGGAAAAAGTTAAATTTTATTACAAATACATCTCTTTTTTTTAATCTTTTTTTAAATAAATCTGTATTTGAGAAAATGATTTTGTGCAAAACATATAGCAAGTTCCTCATTTACATAAAAGCCCCCGCTTTAAGGTGTCAAACTTATGTAGCTTGACCTAACTAGATTATTAGAGGCATAATTCCCCGTGTTATTCTGAGCAAAGCACTTAAATGAAAGTAGTACAACTTTAAGACGGATGAAGTATTAAGAACACACAACCCACAGACCAATACAAGGAAGTCTGAGAACTTTAAAGTTGTTGATTACTTTGCTAAATTTGATTTAAAAAAATAAAATCTTTAATAATAAAAAAAAAACACCACTCAGCATATAAATAAAATAAACCATAATTACTGGTGACTTCATAAAGTAAATGTCACATAAAAAAAATGACTAACTTTTTATTTCAAGAAAAGTAAAAGCAATAATTATTTATCTTTCAATGGTCCCAAAGGAGCATGTTGGAAGATGGGAGGTTTATTGAAACAAGGGCTAAAATCAAGTGTTTCACAAGAGAATGCAGTGGACAGCAGGCAAAAAAAATAATAATAATAATAAGTGATAATAAACAATAATAATAACAATATAAATATGTAAAAGGCCTAATGTATGCAATTCTAGTGGTTACATAATATGTTCAAACACATGATAAGTCATAAGACTGTGCTCTCAATCAGTCAGAAATATAAACTTGGGAAAATTGCGGCAGTGATATGATAAATGATCAATAAATGCATAGATCAAAACAGAATTATAAGCATGCTATATCACAAGGAAAAATAAATCGATAAACAAATCCTACCTTGTCTACGTGAAAAATTAAGTCAAGCTCACAGACATTTTCAAAGCATTTGTCCAGCGTTTCCACAAAAACCTGCAAATGGACAAAAACAATCAAAACTGTAAACGCGTCCAAACAGACAAAACACAATAAACGACTCACCCCGGTAATCTGGCGTTTACCTGGATTAAGTCTAAAATTCCTAGCTCGCTCTCTGAAGAGTCGACACAAAACACAAAATAAAGCGTGGCGTAGTGTCTGTAGATCAGCTTGTAGTCTGATCCTCCGATCAACCTGCAGCACAGGAGACGAGAACAAAGAAAAAAACTGTAAGCTGGAAAATAACGTACAGGTTTTAAAATATTTCCAACGGTACATTTCTGGAAAATAACCTGGACTTGTAATAGCTTGTTTAGTTAAGTTTCTTTAAAATCCTCAAACCCCGCACTCTGCTCCGAGCATGACCTGATAAGAAACTGTATCAAACAAATATATGACGACAGCGACAAAACAAACAGAAGGTGCAGAATAACAGGATGCTTTCAGTTATGGGAGCAAAGATAGGACACCAGATAAACCAGTACAAGACGAGCAGCAGTGCTAATAAAGTTTGATGAAGGGTTTGATAAGAAATCAGGTGTTTTCGTCACCGCAGGAAATGTCAATGCTAAAGAGCACGAAGAAGAAGCTGCAAAATATTGTGTTTACTATCACAGCCAGTCATTATGACAACATATTTATTTTCTCCAGTTTTGCATGCATTCTATTATTTAGCTTTTATACTAAAAAGGAAAGTTAAAGGGGCAAAAAAGGCTCTTGTTTATTGCGTGAAAAGACATGGTGTAACGCTGCGTCCGAGCAGACGTTTGTTTGCTCCGTCCTCAGAATCACAGTTCCAAAGAAACATCACGACTCACATTCCTCCTTCTAGGAAATTGCAGACGTTTTCATCTCGTTTTGAGACCAAGTGAAAGGTTTCCCTGATGATTTGTTGCTCTATGTCTTCATTCTGCAGGAAGAAAACAAAAAGCCGTTAAATCATCATCCTGCTGGTCAGAAGACTAAGCTCCTCCACTGGTCTTTATTCTTCTTCTAATGGTTAAATTATAACAGCGTGAATAGAGTTTTCTCTCTTATTCAAACATCCAACAGCACCTGGAGGTCACAATGTGGGGAATTTCTTGTACAAACAGAAAGAGACAGACTCATTTGCTTCCAGGTGGATTATCTGTGACTGATCTCTGCTGCTGATTATCCATACTGCTGATCTAATGCTGCTGATTATCTCGTGCTGCTGTATTCACTCATGCCCATCTGCTCACCACAGACTCGTGTTCAGGCTGCTGTGGATACATCGTATCGTTTTATATTATTAGTGTTAATATCTTAGATCCTTATTTACTTTTTTTTATATACTTTATATTTTTGTTATTTCCGGGTGTAACTGGGACCCCTAGTACATAATTTTGTTCCATCTCATGTACCACATGTGATGTGAATGACAAACTCAACAAGACACCATTTAACAGCTCACATATCCTTTAGAATGTTTGATGAACGTGAACGCCATCAGAGAAAAAAATTAATCATATTTTGGCATTTTTAATGTCCCCCCCCCCAGACCATCATCAACCACTGCCCCCCCAAAGGGTGCTAATGTCTTCTCAAGGTCTAGTTCAGGTTAGACACTTCTGATGTCGTCTCTGGTTCAGGAGTGGCTGGACTTGAAGAATGAGACGTTTGTAGCTCATGTCCAGGAGTTCATCAGCTGATCAGGGTGTGACATCATGACGTTACAATACTCAACCTCATCACAATATTCTCATTTTCGGAGACAATGAGTTTTATTGTTTTCATTATTTTTAAAAAAGGCATAATCATCAAAATTACAAGAAATAAAAGGCTTCAAAATATTTCACTCTGTGAAATTAATCTATTTAAAATATGGAGTTTCACTTTCTGAAATGATTGACAAAAAGAAATTGAACTTTTTCCACAATGTTTAATTTTTTTTTTAGATGCACCTGTACATCGTCTCGTGGGTCATTTTGACCCACGTGCAGCAGGAGGGACAGATCTGCTAAACTCGGTCCTCTACGAGGCCGAATAATTAAATCCACTATTGTTTTTTTGTCAACAATTAATACAGATGTTGCAGATCTCCTCACCCAACATCCCACCTCTGATAGAACTGCTCTGCAGTTCGGACACACAAACCAACATGATATGTCTGTGTAGCCCCAACATGGCATGCTAAAGATAACGTTACAGCTCTCGGCTGCCTACACCGAGTGTGAAATATTATATCCAGTGAGGCAGTAAGCTGACACCTTGGCTTACAATGTAACAAATGGTGTCTACAGAGCCTCCCGGTAATCCAATCAATTTAAATTTATCCTTCTCAACTGCAAACAAACTAATCCATGTAAACAAGCAGGTTAGATAGTAGAAAAAAAATCTTATTCGTTTATAAATAGACAATTAAACCATCTTTTGAGTAAAAGCTGACAAATATCAGATAAAATTCATGTATTCTTTGCTGCAGATGACCCTTCGTTATATTACTGTATATTATCTATTAGACTCGGATTATGAGTTTTATATACTGTATATACATGCACTTTATTAGATTAACGCATTACTTCTCTGCATCTATGGTTTTACAGCAAAACGGTGGTTCATGTTTTTCTTGGCTGTGCAGACAAAATTCACAAAAAGCTACGAGAAATCAAAAAACAGCGATCAATTGGATTTTAGTGAAAGCCGTAAGAAAGCCCAGCCCTCGCTGGAGCTCTGACATAATTCAAAATGAAAACATCATTCAAGGTTTAAGAAGGTCACAGAAAGTTGGACTCGAATGTCTCAACATGCACTTTCATATCTTGTTGTTTTTAAACAGGTTACTCTTTATGATTTTTAAGGAGTTTTCTCCAACTCTTCAACTGAAAGTTGATGACACACACCAAGTCTAAAATGTTCTAATCTTTGGTAAACAAACAGCTTTTACTCGTGCATCTCTTTATAAATTAAACTCCGTACTCGGGGTCCCAGTTACACCCAGAAATAGCAAAAATATAAAAGTATAAAAAGAAACGGTATATAAGGATCTAAGATATACACTATACGCTAAATGAACACTAAACAACGCGCTAAAAGATCTAAGATATGCACTAAACACTAATAATGTAAAATAATACGGTATATTAAACAGCAGCCTGAACATGAGTCTGTAGTGAGCAGATGGGTATGAATGAACACAGCAGCGTGAGACAGTCCAACTTTAAGTTTTCAATTATACGGAAGAGGATTAGGGCCGCAGTGGGAAAAAATAAAATCCCTGAATTTTGACTTTTTTCTCAGACTTTTGAGATTAAAGTCAAAATTCTGAGGAAAAAAAAATAATAATCAGGGAATTATTATTTATTTTTGCATCATGACCCTAATCCTCTTCTGTATAATTAACAACTATTTATTTGAGCCTTCAGCCTGCTTCTCGTTAACTTAACAGTCCGGGAGTGAGACACTTGTGTGGTTACCATGGGAACCATAATGAGATACAGGTAGGTTAAACTATATTTTATTTTATTTTTATCTAGGTTCTTTATACACCTCTTGTACACCAAATTGTAGATGTTTTTTTTTTTTATTTATTTTTTTAACTTTGATTATTACAAAGAGCAGCACGGTGGTGCCATCTATTGTTAAACCAACATGAGCTGGGCAGAGAATTTAACACTACCTGGTCAGATTCAGTAAGTAAACATGAGCAGGAGGAAATAATGGATCCACTTGTGTGTTTTTAAATCCTGACGTGAACACGAGTTCCTCACAAGGGCCTCGTTCAAGTCATGTGACACAAACAACTGCATCATCAGCAGCACAGCTGGGTCTTTGGATTCTCTGCTCCACAGCCTCTCAGGTGAAACCAGACCGCATCGTTTTGGATTTCGCATCTTGAATTATTCATATTCTCAGCGACAGCGTGGTCTGAAACCTGCATTTTTATTTGTCAGGATTAGTTTAACCAAATATGTTCAATCAGCCTGACTACACTGAGTGAGGCTCCGTTCATTGGAGAGCACGAGACACATCCGGTATTGATTTATTTATTTTTTTTACTTGTTTTAGCTCGCAAATACACAGGGAAATGAGAATAACAAGATGGATAACATTAATTAAAACTGCTCTTTTTTTTACTCACATAGTGTTCGTAGAATTTAGAAAGCCTCGGTTTCCCGTGGTTGTTGAATATTAAAATGGCTTTTATCATGACTGTAGGTGAATGGAGGCGCGAAGAAGAAGAAGAGAGGTTTCAGTCCCTGCGCTTTCTTTCGGGTCCCGTGTTACCCAGACCCGGACCTGTTTTCGGGGATGTATCCCGCTTCGGTTTGAGGTTAGGACGTGTTGGCTCGGAGCGACAAGACGCTACTCCTCCATCGCCTCCTTCACGGATTTATTCCACGTCGAACAACCACCAGTCTTCCTCCAGCTACGGAAGCTGCGAGGGCTCAAACACCGACTTCACGTTTTTATTTTTTAGCTGCAATGCTCAAATTATCCACAAGAGGGTGCAAATTGACACGGAATGAAAACTTCCACGAACGTGAACCATGAAATTAGAATAATTAAATTAAAATTTTATTTTGACTGATTATTATTATTATTTTATTATTATTAATATTATTGTTAATATTGTTGTTGTTATCATATTTTCATATTGTTATGCTTTCCTTTTCAGAATTTGCATTTTTACAACATTACAACCAGGCTCAGCCTCTTAGAATATGTGCTGTCCCCAAGTGTGTGATTTTTTTTGTAGTTCTGTCACTTTGTTATTGCCTGGGATTTGGTTAATGACCTTGTCCACCCCCCTCTTAACAAGTCCCAGAGCTCCAATCATTATTGGAACAGTTTTTGTTTTTGTGGTGGTATTTGTATATCTAAACCTGTTTCTTATTATATTCTAAACTTTAGAGACTGTATTTAATTTTACAGTACTTTACTGCATTTTACAACAAAACAAGTTTTATACTTCTGGGATTACAGTAATGGTCACATTCTATCTGTCTTGCCAGAGGGATCAGGCTGGAAAGGATATGCAGCAGGTTAGGCTTGTTAAAGATAAAAGGTGTAAAGTTCTAATAAGTGAGGAGAGTGGAATGGGAAGGTGGAAGGAGCACTTTGAGGAGCTAATGAATTAAGAGAATGAAAGAGACAGAAGAGTAGAGTTCATAGAAGCTGTCGACCAAGTGGGAAAGATAATTGAAGATTTAGTTTGGAAAGCGTAGAAGAGGATGATAAAGGGGAAGGCAGTTGGACATGATGACATACAGCAGTAAGGTCTTTCCTCAATAATTAATTGACATTTTTTGAGAGTGAATAGGGAGTAGAAGAATGAAGAAGAAATAAAGAAGTGTGTGTTTGTTTTTAAGAACAAGGGTGATGTACAGAGTTGTAGCAACTACAGGGGAATGAAGTTGATAAACCCCATGATGAAGTTCTGGGAGAGTGTTGTGTCTTAGAATATGTGTCTGTGAGCAACAGTATGGTTTAACATCAGTAAAAAAGCACCACAGATGCCATCTTTGCTTTGAGGATGCTGATGGAGAATGAATGAATATAAATTCAAAATTTAAAATGAAACAAAAATAAAGTAATCATTTTAGTTTCTTATTTAGTTGACCAAAAATAGTGGTCGTTCAATTCCTATTGATCTTCTAAAAGCTGTTGAAGAGTTTCCTGCAGGTGAGCCTTGCTGCGTGAGTTCGGTTTCAGCCTGATGGTGGAGCTGGAGAACATCTGGTGCTGATGATGTGGCAGCTGAGGGGGGAAACTTGGCTCAGACTCTCATTCAAAGAAAGTTCTCTCCTTTTCTCACTGCCGGTAAACAGCCAGAGAGGACTTTTCTTCAGACACAAAGTGGGTGACTAAAACTGCTTTTCTGCTTGAATATAAAAGGACAACATGTGCTGCTCAGTTTCGGTTTGATTGTATTTATTTGCTTATTTTGTTGGCAGTTTCTTTTAGACTGCAGAACAAAACATCCTTTGCATGCAGAAAAAAACAGTTGCTCCTTTCTGCGTTGACCGCATGCAACCCACAGTACGGAGTTTTCTTTCAAGGACAAAAAAAAAAAAAAGACAGCAATGAGGGTCTGACCTGTTTAAGAAGGAAAGTGTTTCAGGGAGGAGAAGGGGTTTATAAAGAATAACTCACATCACAGTGACCATGCAAAAAACAGGAGGCAGGTTGAAACATGAAGGAAGATAGCTTATTTGTTTCAAACTGATTCGAGGATTTTGTCTAAAAAAGTTGTTGCATGTTGTAAAAAACATCTAAACAGGGGGATTGTGTGCAGATTTAGATTTAGTCATTGTATCAAAATGCTCCATGAAAACCTGGAAGAAAAAAAAAGTCTCACAATGATTTAATTTCCTTTTTTTTTTATTTAGAAAAGCTCAAGTCTTTTATCAGTTCTCCAATTATGTACATAATGGCTTTTTCCACCATCTTAACAGTCCTCTAGTTTGTGTTTTTCCATTCAAATAATCACTGCTGTAAACATTAAAACACTTTGTGTTGGGGTGGGGGGTGGGGGTCTCACACCTTGGACTGGGGCCTTGTTGTTAGTCTGATGAGATGCACAAACAGAGCTCAGCTCTTGCAGGAATGCCTCAGCCGGACAGAGATAAAGGAGACTGGGGGGTTGGGGGGGTGGAGAGGGGTTATGTTTTTGTGTCAACGTGGTGGAATTGGACTCAAAGGATGGGTCCAAGTTATTAATGAGCAAAACAAAGGCCCATTTTTACTTAAAAGCGTTAAAGATTTGAAAGAAAATGTTGAGAAATGCTGAGCTGGTTCTTTTTTTATCTCTCCTCAACGTGCACTGAGGACAAACCATGCAAATGAAGCTGTCATTGTAGGCGTTAACCTTCTTTCCCTCCACAGTGGTACAGTCCTTCAGCTGCACGTCTCCAAATTGCTTTGGCAGACTATAAAAGCAAACGACAGACAGAGCTGAGGGGAAAAGAAGAAGAAGAAGAAGAAGAAGGTAAAAGCAAGCTGCAGTTTTAATCTGAGACAAAGTTACAGCAGAGCAAGAGAGAGATGGAGCAAACCGAGGTGGTGAAGCCTGAAACTCTGGATGAGCTGATCAAAATCCTCCACAAAATCTTTGAGAGTGACCACATTAATGTGGAGGAGGTGCAGAACATCATGGAATCGTATGAGAGCAAGCCTCACGAATGGAGGAAATATGCTAAGTTTGACCAGTACAGGTAAAATAAAAAGTTTATGATTCATAATTCTGCTGTGAAAACCACTCATTGGCTGTGCTATAAACTGATTTGTGTATCTTTTCTACTTTTGCTTATTTTTTATCAGTATTTAATGTTTGTTTTAACTTTAGTTTAAAAGCACTAATAAAAAAGGTTTATAAAGTTACATTTTTCCATGGATTTGTCGTTGTATCCTTGTACCCACAGTGATTTATTGTCTGTATTTGTTGACAGCAGCTTTTGTCACAAATTATTTAAATGAGAAAAGATGTGTCTGCTTCAATTATTTCACTTGTTTTATTTAGAAGCTTGTGCAAGTTGATAAAAAAAGATGAGGGTAGTTCAAATTTCACTTTAATGAGAGCTCCTAAAAAAAAAACCTGTATGTTTTATTGGAGCATATAAATGATAAGAGCAGTGTTTGGGTTGGTTTTGTGTCATTAAGGGTGGATGAGTGATCATCCAATCAACGCAGAGGAAGGACACACACCCGCTCTTTTATTGCAGAGATACGGTGTGACAGAACTGTGTGGAACTGACTGAAAAAATGACTGATAACAGGAAAAACAACAAGACCACAGGTTGGCACGTAGAGGAATCTTGTTTTTATAGATGTTAACTGTCCATTCGGTGCAGGAGATGCACAATACTTTCAGCATTTGTAACAAAAAGAGGACAGTGATCATGTTTCCTCTAACCCCATTGGTTAAGAAGTGTTCTGCGTTGCAAAATTAAATTTGTTAAATAAATAATCAAATTCCAGCATCTTATTTTTAAAATACAACAACTTCAATACAGCCCAGAAAGTTTGAGATTCTTTGGTAAAGTTCAACGTAGTTCTCTATCTTTTGATTTATTGATATTCACATTCTTCAGAATGTTTTTACTTTCCTTGACGCTCTTTTAAAAGTTGCCACTCGGTCACATAGCACAACCAACGATTGTGTTTGTGGGCGGATATCTCCATGTTCAGTCATCAACGCTCCATTTCTTGCAGGTACACAAGAAACTTGGTCGATGAGGGCAACGGGAAGTTTAATCTCATGATTCTCTGCTGGGGGGAAGGACACGGCAGGTAAGATTTTATATCCAAGTGAATAAGAAAAGACTTTTCCATTGACCGTTTTGTTCAAATCGAGCTAATATTTATAGGTTTCATCTACTTTAACCCTTTAATGCTCTACAGGCCTCCTGTTGAAGAGGTTCATCTGATTATTATAGTTTTAGTAAATACAGATAAGAAAGTCTCAGGTTGCTCTTGTTGACACACACAAGTTATGTAAATCAGTATTTAAAGACAACTGTCAAATTTCTATTATGCCAGCAATCACAACACTTGGCATTTAACAAAGTTTAAATTCAGTCGGATGTTTTAGCTGAAGTTTCCCCAACACTACGAACTCACAACGGGAACACGATGCAAACAAACATGGTTTTACTGAGTTATAACAAAAGCTTACTGTAGCTCATATTTTCCAGCTTTCTGCATTCTTGAAGGCCAGCGTGGACGTGTTCTCATGCTGAATGCTTGTGTGTTCCTTTGGCACTTTGCAGTAGCATCCATGACCACACAAACTCCCACTGCTTCATGAAGCTGCTGCAGGGGCAGCTGAAGGAGACGCTCTTCCGGTGGCCAGACAGCAAATCACACGGAGATATGGTTCAGAAATCGCAGAGGATACTCCAGGAGAACAAGGTTGCTTACATCAGCGGTAAGAAAGAGAGCAGAGTACTGCTTTATTGCATCTCGGCAACACTTTCATGCAGCTTTGTTGAGAGCTATGAAACAAACAAGTTGCATCCTGCCCTGCATGAAATATGATGATGTGCCTCAACTTGGAAAAATCCATCCACTGCAGCCAGATGTGTGCACAACGCTTGTGCACACATCTTTCCTGGCGCTCAGTTACTGTATATAATCCTGTTTGCAATTATGCAACGTCAAATTGCTCCTGCAGGAATTCACATATGGTTGCAGTTTAACAGTGAAGAACTTTAGGTTCTCTGATCCAAGAAACTAGAGCCCAACTGAGAAGTCTGCTCTCAGACGATTGATTGAAGTTTCACACCATTCCAGTGACGGCCAACTCAAAACGCGTTCTTTGTTCGTGTTTGTTTGCATGTTTTAGACTCCATTGGTCTGCATCGTGTGGAAAATGTCAGCCACACAGAATGTGCGGTGAGCTTGCACCTGTACAGTCCTCCGTTCCAGACCTGCCAGACCTTTGACCAGCGAACGGGACACAAGAACACCGTCAAGATGACCTTCTGGAGCAAATACGGAGAAAGGACTCCATTTGTAAGTGTCTGGTTTGGCTTATTTTAAAAAGTTCTTAGCCAAAAGTGTTGGCACGCCTGCTCATATAGGTGGGTTAAAGAGTTTGTTTTTAGCAGAGTATACCTGCATATATTAGAATAAAAACTTAAGATTTCAGTCTTCATTGGAACTGATAACTGGTTCATTTCTAGAGTCAACCTTATTCAAGATGGCTGCCACAGGTTAGCAACCCTAATAAAGCACAAAAATGGTGATAACTCAGTCAGTTTTACAAATATTGAGCTAAAGTCGCCAATAGTTAGCAAACTGACAAGATCTCACAGTATTGCTCGAGGTCAGACATATCTTTCTTTTCAAGATTCACAAAACAAAAAAGGCAGTAATTTCTCAACATATGATCTTACTGTAGTTTAAAACTCTGGCATGAAATGCACAGGCCGATGTGAAAGCCTCCAAGGCCTAATTCTGTTCATGTATATATTTTGGTTACCAAGCACAAAGACAGGCAGGAAAATTACAGACTATAAACTGAACGTGCAGACTTTTCCACACCCCTGAAACGCACTCTGAGGAAGCAGGAGAGGTTTTTTATAGTTTTTGAAGCAGCAGCCCGTTAAATACCATTTCAGTCTTTCATGTTCTCACTTGTTTTACAGTAAAAAAAATGTTGGTTTGAAAGAGAAAAATGGCGATTAAGTCGCTTTAATCTTTAATTAGAATGTTTCTAAATTAAAATCAAGGCTCCTCACAACGAAAAAGATAATTTGGAGTTAAAATTCACAAGATAAAAAAAGACATAAAGCATATAGTGGTTGTGATTTCCGTCCATTTTAGCCACCCTGCCAACAATCCCACCTTTATCGGCAATCTAGCAGTTTTATAAGCATACCTTTACCATAAAACCTTCAAGTTGGTTCACTAGATTGCAACACAAAACAGAAAAGATAAGATAAGCAAATGAGCCAAAGCACACAATGAACTTAACCTGACATACACCGCGAGCTCCAAACAAATGTCTGATTGTGATTTTTGGGTCAGCTCCTTTAAAGACACGAAATTCTCTGTTAAATATGACTTTGAATAATCCTGTTTTAACTCAGACATCGTGTGATCTTAATCTCATCCTGTCGCCATATGTTTTGTTCTTTCTTTTTCTAGGAGACCACAGTTTCACAAGAAAATAACTAGATGTCATCGAGCAAAGCGTGCTACAACGGAGACACTTGAGTTTAAAATGGCATTTCAGTGACACCAACTCAAAATGCAAAACGTGGACCTAAAACTACGCAACCCATTTCAAAATTAGGAGCGGGCTGGTTCAAAGGGACAGCCCACTAACGGTAATTAGAACGGCTTTATCGCTGCCCAGGGTGAACTTGGCAAATACTGATGAGCACAGGACGAAAGCATGAATAGGCTCGGACATGGACTGAATCTGCCTTTTGTTTGCTGGGCCTGAAGAGACCCTTTTCCAAAAACAACATTCCTGTCTGTCTACGACCCGTGTAAACACACATTCATGGTCTAAAACTAGAGCTTTAGCATTTTAAACAGAAGAAATATTGCTGTTTTGTTTTCTTTTATGTACAAAAAAAAAATGAAACCAGTTCTGTAATCAACAGCTTTTGTTCTCAATGAAACAGTTTTAGCTGTATGTACTGTTGCCGCTCAAAAATGTCTCAAATGTCTGTTAAAAATTGTAAAAGAATGTGACATTATATGTACAGTTTGCCTGCAAAGGTTTGTTGTGTTCGCATTTTGGAAAAAAGAAATGTAAAGCTTTAGAGTCGTGTTGTTTTTAAAAAGTGTGATGCTTGTGTAATTTATTTGCAGGGTATCCCGTTCACTAAGGGAGTTCTCTTAATCAGCAAGCTTAAATACCAAGAGAGTACTGTGGAGAGTCTTTTATATTATTAGATGTGTTTAGGTGAACGTTTCTCAGGATTTTGGTAAATTTTGATTGCAGCTGTATTTATCCAGTCAATAATTTGTCATAGTGTTGTCAATTAAACACATAACTTCTGTGTTGCTGCAGTAAATTTGTGCATAACTATAGAACAATAAACATAATTTCCTTTTCACAAAAACATTCCGTGTTACTGCACATACTGTTGTTCGTATTCAACAATTTTAAGTTCTGCACACGCAAACAAACTGTAACACGAAAACTAGAGCGATAACATTTTCTGTGAATGCTGAAAAACTGTTGAAGTTGAAAGTAAGCTGTTAAAGCTTAAAGAAACAGAATAGTGAAAAGCCAAAAGCAGCTAAATGTTTCCAAAAAGCTAAATGTAGCAAAATGCCAGCTAAAAATGAGTGGTTAGCTGATAGCGGTAGTAGCAAAAGGCTGCTAAAAGCTAAAATAAGCAAACAGTTAGCTAAGATACAAGAAGATAGACAAAGTAATGATGCATATTACATAATAACACAAATTAATAACACATGTTGAAACTGTGTTATGGATTTTTTATTGTGCTTGCTCTTTCCTTATAGTTGACAAACCAACACCCTAATATATTTATCAGCCAAACAATTTATAAAAAAAACAGTAACAAGTAAACAAGCTTCAATAAAAATGTCAATAAAAACATGTTTCAAGAAATGTATACAGTATTGTATATACACACACACACACATATACATATATATATATATATATATATATATATATATATATATATATATATACACATATATATATTTACAGTATATATATACTGTACTTTGTTATATGGTATATACATTGATTATATATATTTTTGTAGATATATGTATGATATATATTGATGATACAAAAGCTAAAAATAGCTAAAGCTAGTTAAAATTTAAAAGTAGTATAAGAGTACCAAAACAAGTAAGCTTAATGAGATATCAATGTATTTCTAAATGAGGGAAGTATTTGTAAAGAAAGTAATACAAAGTATATTTTAAAAGTATAACAAAAAAAAGTGTCATTGCGCCCATTTTGAAAATGAGCTGAACATGTTGATATGCAAGCAGCGCGGTGGCACAACTGGTAGAGCTGCTGCCTCTCAGCGAGCAGGTCCCCAGTTCAAATCCTGGTCCGGGGGCCTTTTCTGGGTGGAGTTTGCATGTTCTCTCCGTGCATGCGTGGGTTTTCTCCGGGTACTCCAGTTTCCTCCCACAGACCAAAAACATGCATGTTAGGCTGATTGGTAACTCTAAATTGTCTCTAGGTGTGAGTGAGAGAGTGAATGTTTGTTTGTCTCCTTTGTCTCTTTGCGTCCCTGTGATGGACTGGAGACCTGTCCAGGGTGTCCCCCGCCCCTCGCACGGTGATTGTTGTACCTGGGCACCGGTGACCCCCATGACCCAAAATGGAAGAAGCGGGTAAAAAGATAATGGATGGGAGGATGGTTAGATGGATGTTGATATGCAAAGGGATTTAAAAAATGTACAATTAAAAATCAGGAAATATATGAATGCTGAATTCATACAATAAGACAATAAAAGTCAAACAATAAATCAGGTTGTAAATTTCTCAGTTTAGTTTTGAAAACTTGTTGAATTGTCATAAATGTTATTATCCATTGGTAATAAGTTATTTAAAAATGTTGCAGTAATGCTGCGGTTTATTAGCAATGACTCACGTCTGGGGAAAAGTCTGGCACATAAACTTTCGCTCTCAAAAGTGCACTTCAATTTGTACTTTGATTTAAAGGAACTATTGATTAGTTGTCCTCTTGACCAATAAATAGACTGCAATAATGGCGCACTGATAACAGTATTTGAATAACAGACGTCCCAGTCTGTACAAAGTTGGCATTTCTCTGGCAACCAAACAAGATAATTGTGTCCCAGTATGAATGTAACTGAATTAGAGTGATAAGGGAGCTATTGAAAAGAGCATACGTGCAAAGATTCAGTTCTCTGATTCTGTGGATATTTGTCTTAAAATTTAGTTTCATATATTTACGATAGTTTTGTCAATGAGCACATAGAAGAAGAAGAAAAACTGCAGTGCTTGTTTCCTGAATAAACTATTTACTCTTTAATGTCTCTAATTACACATGGTCTGCAGCCAGAGTTACACAACAATGAACTGAGTCTTGATTGCTCCCTGCCAAAACGCTGAGTGATCAGTGCGTCTCTGACTACAGAGTCTTATCCACAAGACCTTTATCTTCATCTGTCAACACATTTAAAGGCGATTTATTGACTATTGTTCAGGTTTTAAAAAGATTTACCATTCATAAAACAACAGTAAAGGGTCGAGCGGGTCTACATGGACTATGATGTTTGTGGATGACATTGTGATCTGTGGTGAGAACAGGTGGAAGAGAACTTAAAGAGGTGGAGGTATGCACCTGAAAGAAAAGGAATGAAAGGCAGCCATAGTAAGGCAGTGTACATGTGTGTGAATGAGAGGGAGGTCGTTGGAACAGTGAGGCTACAAGGAGCAGAGGTCACAAAGGTGCAGGACTTCAAGTACTTGGGGTCCACTGTCCAGGAAAATGGGAAGTGTGGTAAAGAGGTGAAAAGAGAGTCCAGGCAGGATGGAGTGTATGGAGAAAAGTTTCAGGAGTGATTTGTGACAAAAAGGTGTCAGCAAAAGTCAAAAGAAAAGTTTTCAAGACAGTGGTGAGAGCAGCTATGTTGTATGGTCTGGAGACAGTGGCATTGACAAAAAGACAGGAGAAAGAAGGGGTCGAGATGAGACCAGAAAGCTGCAGGTTCAACTCCCTGCCATGCTCACATGTCATGGTGTCCTTGAGCAAGACACCCAATCCTCAGTTACTCCCTGGTGCTTACATAGCTGCCCACTGCTCCACCTGGGTTTACATCATGTGTGATGGGTGAAATGCAGAGAACTCATTTCACCGTTGTATGGGAACATACAATGATGACAACACAAAGCCCTTCATCCTGATGCATGCTCATACTACTCATACTCATGCACTTTAATTACTTTACTTTAAGAACTGGAAGTGGCAGAAATGAAGATGCTGAGGTTCTCCTTAGGAGTGACAAGGATGGATAAGATTAGGAATGAGATCATCAGAGGTACAGCACAGGTTGAACAACTGGGAGATAAAGTTATAGAAGCCAGACTGAAATGGTTTGGACAGTGGGTATATTGGTAGAAGGATGTAAAAAAAATGGAGCTGCCAGGAATAAGACAAAGAGAAGATATATGGATGCAGTTAGAGAAGACATGGAGGTAGATGGAGTTAGGACAGAGGATGCAGAGGACAGAGTGAGATGGAGGAGGATGACTCGCTGTGGCGACCCCAGAAGAAGAAGAAGAAGAAAAAGGGTCGACACTGTGTAAAGTTGATTCAAATGACGTAATGAAATATGTTGAGCTTCTTGCACTGACTTTAAGATTCTGCTCCTATTTATGAATGAATGCATCTTCAACATCATCTTATGTAAAAATGAAATGTTCACCAAAGCACTTAGAAGCTATCCCTCTACCATTCTAACCTTAAAATATTACAATGGTACGTTATGAACGCGGTGAGACAAATAATTGTGGGAATTATCATATTTGGTTTTTGATCAAATTTAACAGCTGCAATATTCATATTAATTCTTATTCATTACAACTATACACAAATAGACACTTATAAAAGTAAAACATCTGGTATATCTCTTCTTGGTAGAGAGGTACTAAAGTTTCTATGAAATCAGCTGCCTTAAATACTGTTTGTAGAAAACCCTTTACAACTTTCAGCATTTTGTAATGCACTGAATGTGATTGTATTTTCATATCTGATTTGAAATTATTTACCTAAACTTTTAGATTTAATTTTTTTCTGCTGTCAAGTGAATCATCAAAGCATACAGTAACTCTATCCATATCCTAATTCAAACTATTTGACACATTTAGTGTTTGATATATTTACAAAGAGTTTAGGAAATTGCTCATTTTTTCCAGTGGCTCAGGGCCATCAGAACTTTTGGCAGAAAAATATTTTACTGACTGATCTTTTGTCTCAGATGTAGGAAAGAGGGGTTGTTTTTACATTTTGAATGAGTGACCATAAAGATCGATTGCATCCCACCCATGCTCCATGTCCTGGCTCAGGTCACTGCTGATGACATCATGTTCTTCCTGAGTCTGAGGACACCTCGCTTCCAGATCATACAAGCTTGAACGTCTCTTGCCTGCACAGCGCGTTTTGGATTGCTTGCCTTGCTTTCGACCATTGTGCTGTCATGATCGTGACGTTTTGTACTTGTTCTGAGGTTTGGTTTGTCAGCATCTATCAACTGTCTATCTACAGATCATCCAAAGATTCAGCAGACCTGTACCCTCCCTGTGTGATTCCTTTGTAATATATGTGCAGGCCTGTTAGCTTTTTGTTTTTATTACATGTCTTTTATCCCCCACATTAAAAACACTAGAACTGCCTTCTTCCACCTGCGTAATATCACTAAAATTAAAAACATCTGAAAATTATGCAGAAAAACTGGTTCATGCATTTGTCATGTCTAGACTGGACTATTGCAATGGTTTGTTATCTGGGTGTCCAAATACTTCTTTAAAACGTCTTCAGTTGATCCAAAATGCTGCTGCCGAACTGGAGTTAGTAGAAGAGATCATGTCGCTCCAGTTTTAGCTTCTCTCCATTGGCTCAGTCAAATCCAGAATTTAATTCAAAATCCTATAACCTACAAAACTCTCAACAACCTAGCTCCATATTATATTACCGATCTTGTTGTTCCATATTTTCCTAACAGAGCTTTGCTCTCAGACTGCAGGTTTACTTGTGGTTCCTAGAGTTTCCAAAAGTAGAATGGGAGGAAGATATTTTAGTTATTAGGCTCCTCTCTTGTGGAATCAACTTCCAATTTCTGTCCGTGAGGCTGACACATTGTTCATTTTTAAGACTTTCCTTTTTGATAAATCCTATAGGTATGGTTGGCTTGGGTTTCCTGAGCTATCCCTTAGTTATGCTGCTATAAGATTAGACTACTGGAGGACAAACTGACCACACTTTTTCATTCTGCTACTGTTTTTACTTACTCTGCTCAACCTGTTTTGTATTTGTAATTATTTTTTCCATCCTTTACATGCATTTTTTGCCTTTCAGGTACACCTGCACCTACGT